TCCCAGTTTCTGGCATGCGCTTTGCAGCTCCTTCAACTTGTTGTCCTTCGTGTACTTAACATCGTCGATCTCCACATCCAATGCATCTGGATCGACAAACTCTGCATCGTCTGCCACCTGAGGTCTTGGGCCATCTCCTCCGGCTGCCAGTACTGGAATCTCTCCTCCTCCTCCTTCTTCCTCTTCTTTCTGGCCATGATGCCGGCTCATCTCCAATCAAAGGGTATTGGCTTACAGGGACCTCAGAGTTCGGCACGAAGTAGTCCTGCAAAGCTCCTGGTGACACAAATGTCAAAGCTGGCCTTGGACCAAGTGGGATCTCTCTGAATGGCAATGTAGACTTTGCATAGTCGCCCACATTTTCCACCTGTTCCCACAACCCATCTCCATCTTTCACTTTCAACAAGGTCATTCGGCAGCTCCACTAAGGACCAAAGCTGTCGCTTGCATCATGGAGGAAACGGGCATGTGGGTTCGAGTACACTATCACTCCATTTGGCAAGACATGCCATCCAGGAATCCTTTCGAGCAGGGCCAACTCCCGTGAAATGTATCCCCAAAACATCTCCTTCTTTGCCTGCGCGGGAAAGATTCTCTCTGGTTCATCAACTGCTGGCTCTACCGCTGGGCTATCGGACAAGTCCACAGGCTCCTCCTTGATCTCCTTGTTCCTGAGCCGCCAATTCTCCCAGCGACCAAGCCTTTCTCTCGGCTCCATCATCGCTGCTACTGCCTTTCACCTCTACTTCCACATCTCCTGACTCTTCTGTTGTGTAGCCTGGAGATCTCTCTTCTTTTTCAATCTTCTGCTTCTTCTTCATTGGGCTCTCCGTGACAATCTTCTCATTCTCCTCGAACATTTCCATCAGCATGTCCACGAGTTCTTGTTCATCCAACTTCTCCTCAGCAGTCTTGTTCTCCACCTGCTGACGACATGCACTATGCGCATCTTCCTTCATCATGGCATTCACTTCTCCTTGTTGCTTCTTGTTCTCCTCTGTCTCACTCAACTCTCTCTTCTTCTGCTCATCTTCATCATCTGCCAAATCATCCCCTTCCGCTCGAACGGCGCATACTTTCACATCCATCACAAGTGAATTCCTCTCCAGACGTGTTGGGATCTGGAGACCTCGCTGGGGGTGATCCAAAAACATCCCGGCGGATCTAAAACCGCGCGTGCGTTTTAGCACGCCAACTTCAGAGGTGTTGCAAATCCACTGCAAAAAACAATGGAAAAGAGGGTTTGGAACCTCTTGTAAATCGGAAATTCTGTGTCCAAAACTGGGAGCAAAATTCGCTTGAAACACGAAAAAACCTGAGAAAACACACACGTTCACCGATTCGATCGGAACCTTTTCACAAAGTCGTCCAACCAGAGGATGGGAGATTCCCACAAAACCTCGAGAACAGATTCGAAACCTGAAATGAGAGGACGTGGAAAACGGGCGATCCGCAAGAGAAGAATATAAGTGAGGCACAGTGCAATGCAGAAAAACTGATTCATCCTGAGAGCCGCAACCAGCAGCAAGAAACAATTTATCCGCGCACAAACATTCCAGAACATGCCACCGCTCGAAACAGGTTTAAAAAACATGAAATGCATCGTGAAGGCAGCAATGCTCACACAGTAATGAAAACTGTTTTGCCGAGAAATAAATATTCACATGCACAGAAATATACATACATATGCAACGTCACAGGAACGTCAACATGCCCCCCCCACCCCAACCCCCCCCCACCCCGTGCAACGTCACCAGCATAGCACAACGTAGCGTCCAACCCAGTGTGCAACGTCGCAGGAACGTCAACATGCCCCCCCTGAAAAGTAGAGCCTACCTGTACAGGGTTCCACTCCAACAGCTGATATAGTGTGTCCATGCTTGACTGCTTCAAGGCTCAAAGAGCAAGAGGATAAGACTCTGCGCGTAAAAGACACTAGCGGTCTGCACCTCTACCGTGTACGCCCTAGTCACTCTTTCAGTGGTAGCGGAGCAGTGATCCTGGAAGACCCAGGTGAGCTCCTTTCCTAGGCATAGAATTGCTTGTGGGCAAACGGCCATGGATTGGATTGACGACTGGGAAGAGCCTGATGCGGATGTGGCTTATGAGCCAGCAGCCTACGTGAATAGGCATGTGAGAAGAGAACCAGCAGCAATAGCAATGACAACACAGGTCACTACAAAGGTGCCCCCATCTTATGATGGAAAGACTTCATGGTTTTCCTATGAGGATGCCATAGACGATTGGTGTGATATCACCGAGCTGGAAGATGAGAAAAGAGGACCAGCATTGAGAAACAGATTAGAAGGAGAAGCAGCTGTATACAAGCGTGTTTTAGACAGAGATGCATTGAAGGCAAATGATCCACCAGGAGCCGGCGTAGAATATTTCAAACGAGTACTACGACCATATTTCGTGAAAGGATCAACCAATGTATTCCTGTATAGGTTCATGCAATTCGTGCGCTTCAATCGAGGATCAGCTGACATGATGAAATGGATGACAAGATTCCAGATTTTACTCCAAAGGCTTATGAGCAGTTGGATGGACATGTTAGAACCAGTCACTCAAGCACATCCACAAGTCCTAGCTCAGATGCAGGCAGATGCAGCATTGACTGGAACAGCACCAACGGCAGAAAGGATTCAGGAAATCATGCAGACCATCAATGGCAACATGAGGACCTTTCATCAGAACGAATTTCCTCTAGGAGAAAATCTCATTGCCTTACTCATGCTGTCACTTGCAGATTTGTCTCAGGACCAGCGAAACACTTTGACTTCATTGATGACTCATCGTGGCAGGGTCCTGCAGCAGTATACTACAACAGAGTTGAGGACAGTGTTCATTGAGATGTTCTGCGCAACAAAGACTTCAGTAGACAATCCTTTGATGCAGCCGACAGGTGCTGGAGGTAGAAGATCATTTCTCGTACTAGACGAAGGAGAACTCGATGGTACATTTGGCTATTGGGCCGAAGATGAAGAAGATGGAACTGAAGGATTTTTAGATGCCCTGGACGATGTCTTTTGGGTATATGATGATCAAAACTTCTCGTGGTTCCAAAGGAGATTCCAAGGAAGAAGAGCCAGAAAAGGCAAAGGAAAAGGAAGAAGAAAAGGAAAAGGTAAAGGAAGATCAGGCCGCAGATTTTTCAGACCTCGTGGAAAAGGAAAAGGAAAGAGACGAGGTAAAGGCCATTTTGCTGATGAGCAACAGACAACTTTTCCAGATGAATACTTTGAAGAGAATCCTTATGAGGACACTTGGGAGTCAAACCAAGTAGCATATGATGCCATTCTTGCCGAAGATATGAATGACTATCTTCAAGGAGAATATGATGATGCCAATGACTTCTGGCAACAGCTTGAAGAAGCATGGTTTTCCCACAAAGGAAAAGGAAAAGGCAAGAGAAAAGGAAAGAAAGGAAAAGGAAAAGATAAAGGAGATGGCAAACTAGATGCAAACTATGCAAATCCACAACAGCCACGTTCTTTACCTGCACCTTCAAGATCTTCACAAGCATCAGGAGGTCAACAAGGTTTCTTTGCACATTGTGTGACAGCAGCAGCTGAAGTCCATGACAGTGAGGTGGACTTGCTGTCAGGCATGATGACCTCATGTCAAGATGAAGCTGACTGTGCGGTCAACAATGGTGAGACGATCTTCAATGGCATGAGTGCCCCTGTGAGGTACTCTTTGTCAAAGGAGATGCTCACAAAGGCTCCTGATGGCTTTGCGCTTATGAGCGCTGAGGAAGAAGTGAAAGAGATGCAGGCCATTTCATTTTTGACTGAAAATCGCTTCCCGCCGACTATTGCAATCCTGGACATTGGATGCACTAGAGCTATGGGATCAAGGCGAGCAGTCGACCATTTTTGCAACTATGTCGACAATCACCCAGATTGTGGATTATGGTACTCTTTTGAGGCTACCAAGAGCAAGTTTTACTTTGCCAATTCCCAGAAGGCTACTTGCTCTCAGAAACTGGTGATTTACATGTATGATCGTGCATGGACGATCCACCATACAGAGTTCGACATAGTGGAAGAAGGAGAAGTCCCTTTGCTTATGAGCTTGCCACAGATGAGGAACTTAGGCTTTGAACTCAGGCTGACACCTCAACATGCTTATCTGACATCGGTGCCTCTTGGTATCAAATATTTGGAGTTGAAGGTTGCAGCCAGTACTCATCTTGTCTTGGACTTCCAAGATATTGCATGGTATCTGTCTGACGTGAATTTGCAGACTCGGCGCGAGAAGAGTTTTTACTCTCACTTCACTCACTATGAATATGGTCATATTTCTGTTGACCTCAATAGTGATGAAGATGTAGCTGAACATGCATATCCTGTGGTTGACTACTGGGAAGTAGATGTTCACAAGAGAGAACTGATACGTCACCACAAGGATTATAGAAAGATTCTTTTCCCAGCAACTAAGTCCTGTCCTGTAGACACTGACCTACTGGAAGACTTGCGATTGACAATCATCAAGAAGAAGAAAGGTGGAGAAGAGATCAAGAAGCAAGATGATTGGCGCAAGGCAAAATGGAAGGACCTACAAATTGGCTATGAATGGCGTGGTAGAACAATTTTTAAGTTCAAGCCAGATGCCAAAATTCCAGATCTAAAGATCAGGAAGGCTGGCATTGAGCACCGTGGCATTGGTGATCCCGATGCAGTGGTGCGCTCCTCCTCAGAGAAGGTTCCCATTGCAAGGGACAGGGAACCAGGCTTCTCGTCAGAGAAGGAAGGTGCACCAGCCAGTGCCGCGGAAAAGCCCGTGCCGCCAAAGTTTCGGTATACTTCCAAGGGTTTTGATCCATTTTGGAAGGGACACAAGTCGAAACCATCTGAGCCTCAGAATGATTTAAAGGGTGATGATCTTGAGGAGTATGTTCCCTCAGAACCACCTGAGAGGCCAGAAGGTGAACTTGTAGAAATTCCTAAAGCATCAAAAGGACCATCAAGTGATAAACATGAACCACTTGAACCAGGTGATGGCGCTCTTGAGCCTAGGCGGATTTCAATCCCATTACCTGGTAGTGAAGTTGTTGCAATGACACCGGCATATAGGAAGATGTTACAGAGACTGGAGGACAAGGTAGAGCTTTATAAGCTTCATGTGAAGCACTACCATATGAGTCCTACTCAGTTTCGTAGACGTGTTTCTATGTTGAAGCTTCCTGACTCTGTTTTAGAGAAGTATGAATCAGTTGTCAGGAACTGCCGTGTTTGTAACACTTCAGTGGCACCTCCGCCGCGAGCCAGAGTCTCCGGTATTAGAGCTTCATGTTTTGGTGATGTTGTTTTTGCTGATCATTGTGAGGTTGAACTTCACAAGAACAAGTATATCATTCTACTTGTTCTTGATGGTGCCACAAATCTTCTCTGGGCTACGGCAGAGAAAGACCTCATAGATCAAACCACCATCCAAGCATTGAGGCAATGGTCTGATGAGAACAACTGTGTTCCAAAGGCCATCGTAGGAGACGAAGCCTTTTTCACCGATGCTTTTGTTGAATACTACAGGTTCCATGGTATACAACAATGTCCTTGTGGGCCAAGAACTCCTTGGCCGAACCGAGCAGAGACAGCTGTACGTTTGTTCAAACGTATGTGGCATGTTATGAAGGTAGATCTGGATGACCCACGTTTTCGTGGTGTTACGGTCAGAGAAGTGGTCAAGAAGGTAGTTTGGGCAAGAAATTGTCAGTTGACTATCAGTGGATATTCACCAATAGAGATAGCAACTGGAAGACGTCCACCAGATCTTTTTGACCTTGAGACCGCAAGCCCTGAGCAATTGTCAGCTAATGCCGCCGCACAAGATCGTACAAATTTGGAACTACAACGTGTGGCTTTGAGAGCTCATCAAGAAGCACGACAAGCTCAGGACCTTCGAGCAGATCTTGCGAGAAGGACTATGCCAAGTGACGGTCCTTATTTCCAAGGAGAGAAGGTTTTTGTTTGGACTCAGGATTCATCAAAGTTCAAGGATAAAGGACGTTGGGTTCGTGCCACAGTACTTGGACAAGAAGGAGCTATGGTCCAAGCCAATATTGGTAAGGCAGTGATACGTGTGA